GTTTGGGTCCCCAAACCATGGTTTGGGGTGTCACCCAAACACACCCTTGGTCATTGTTCAAGTTTATTGGATTAACATGCTATTTGTGATTGATTGATGTGATCATGAAGTTTTAAGAAAGCATTTAAACAAGCTAAGTTAAAAGGCCAAAGCACGTAGGTTTTACCTATGCATTATTTTCCTGTTGAATTGCAGGCTCAAGGAAACTCGTTCCAGAAAAAAGGTGTCATTACTTTTCGGCATTGGCCATGCTGTAGAGGTAAAAGCATTGATCTAATTTAATAGAAGAGTGTATTATTAACTATAAATGCTATTCAGCTTACTGAATGTATGTTTGTTATTGTTCATACCTTGATGTAGAAATTGAAATTGTCAGAGCACTTCATTCATGTGCAAGAGGTTCAATAGATACTTTTATTCATGTTTGGCTTCTCTAGCCCCGTCATTTTATGAAAAATTTTTACTTAGAGGTAATTTTCCTGTCTAAATGAATTTGGTGGAATTTTGCTGTTTGATGATGCTAAAAAATGCATCTGGTGCCAACTACCGTATGATTTACAAACTTAGGTGCTGTTTCCTTGCTGTGATATTTTAGCATTCCTTATACTAGGGAAAGACAAAAAGTGAAGTACGCAGGGCGTCAGTATCGGATAACATTTCTGGTTCTCATATAAGAAGTAAAATGGACAAGTCTATGCGGAAGATTTTAAAGAAGAAATCATATTATTTAATTACTTAAAGAAATGCCAGTTTGTCTGCTTAGTGTTAATGCTTAAAAACTTTTCTCCAGGACATGTAATTCTGTGCATAACCTTTGACTGACCTAATTTCATTTCTCCCCTTTAGGATACACCAATCCCTGCAAACACAAAACGCTGTGCGTTAGAAATCATATGTGAATTTATTGTTGATGGCTTCATTATTTCAACAGTTTCGTCTTGTATTTGTTTGAGAATGCTTTGTTGGATTTGGTGACAGGATAAGTCCAATGGATCCAGTCAAGGGGGGAGGACCTAGACAAAGAGCAGAAGCTTTAGCTGCCTTATCTTCTGCATTTAATTCACCTTCTGACAGAACATCCAGCACGGTATGTTAACTTGCATATAGATGAGTATTAGCATTTTCGTTCTCGGTATTATTGATTATAATCGATGATCGTCAAACAAGCAGAAGATACTCCTATGAAGCAGTTGCTGTGTTATCACAATTTCACAGAGCATTCACCAAGCATAGCATATGGAATTGGCATTTTTGTTTTAGTTATGGCTTAGGATACTATGCATTTAGAAAATAAATGCACAACGTAACATTAAAAAGAGAGATATAGAAAGAGAGAAAATTAGAGGTGGATGAAAGAAGGCCTTTGTTGCACTTCCACCCTTCTAAATGCGCGACATATTACTGCAGGGGATTGCAGTCCTTTACTTCTTGAATGGGGTGCTAAAAAATGTGACAGAGAATAATATTGTTAATATATCATGTCTCCTATTATATTAGTGCTTCTACTGCTGCCAAGGTTTACTCAGGTGTTTGGATCGGGCGAGGGGAACTTGGGTAGATAACATAGATTTATTCCCAGTGGAGCTCCAAAAGATGGAGAAAAGACAATAGTAAGAAAATTGGTGCTTCTTGCCTTCTTCTAACTGTTTTTAGTTTCACTGGCGCAGGATAGAGATAGACTGAACGGAGTAGTAATAAATCAGGAGGTCCAAGACAAAGAGCTGAAGCTCTAGCTGCCTTGAACTCTGCATTTAATTCATCATCCGCCGGTAGAATGTTGTTGCTCCCAGGTCTGCTGGAACAAGTCAAGGATCACAAAGAGCAGCAGCGGTAGCTGCTCTTTCAAACGTTCTCACTGCTGAGAAGAAGAAGCACTCACCTGATTCCTCTCCTGTTGGGCCAATCAGCAGTCCTGTTGCAGAAAGTAGTGCTTCTGGTAAGATAAGATAAGGCTCTTATCCATGCAAGACGTTGCTTTATACGCAAATATCCTGGTCAACCCCCCCCCCCTCCAACACACACACACACAAAAGGAACCTCTCATTTTCAGTGATGCTACAACTGGTTGCTTCTTTCAGTATTTGGCAGAGCCCATCCTTTCTTTTCTTTTTTTTCCAAATTGACATGCAAATTTTGTGCAATTGTCGTTTTACATATATTTGGAAAAATATGAAATCTGGTTTTCTTCGTTGCATGACAAAACCTGCATTTACCTAAAATAAACTCGTGTGCAACCTTTTCCTTTCAATGGGAGGCTCTGAAATCACATGCTTGTGTCGCTGATGCAAAAAAAAAAAAAATCAGAATATTCCCTGCCCTTTGCTGCAACTAATATTTCTCTTGTTTGTGCAACCAATTCCGGGTGCTCTGGAATATCTGACTAGTGTGATTTCTTGTAGCAGAAGCTAAGAGTGAAAGTGGCCAGTCCGAAACCGAAGGTCCTGAGGAAGCTGCAGATGCCAAGGAGACTGAAGAACTTGCAACCGAAACTGGTAGCAATGGTGATTCAGAACCCAAAACAGGAAAATGTTGAGGATGGGAATGATAATCAAAGTAGTCAGAGCACATTCAGTTATGATCAACTGAAGACCAAATCTACTAATCCTGTGTCTGGAATAGATTTCAAACGAAGAGAGGTTAGTCTTGATTTGCCGTTGCTGATTTAATTTATTCCGTTGGGAGTGATGTCAATATATAGTCTTTTCTCTCGAATTGGTGTATCTCAGGCCTATCTATCGGATGAAGACTTCAACACAGTATTTGGAATGACAAAAGAAGCATTCTATAAATTGCCAAAATGGAAGCAAGACATGCAGAAAAGGAAAGCAGATTTGTTCTAGAGTTGAATATTACAATGAGTGACATACATATCTGCTGTTTTTGCATCCTAACATACTTTTGTTGGAATCCACTTTTTATCTGTGGGATGGTTGTGGTATTATTGAAACTCCAAGTTGGATTCCGGTGCGTAACAATTTGCTGTTTGGCCTTTGATGGATGTAAACCTGTGGTTAGTATCGGAATTGATTGTGATACTGCCTGGAGAGTGAGTTTTAGTTTCTCCTTTGAAATTGGTTTTGCCTCGCGTAATGATGTTCACATATTGTAGCTATGAAGACGGTGGACAGCTCCATTCTTTCATTTGATCAGGTTTGTAATTTTAATACATGGATTTATTCATGTTGTTATTGGTCCGGGGGGCGGGTGTATATGTACTGCTTTTTCATATAAACTATAAAGAATGAAACTTTGCTGGGTTGTTAGTTGTGAATTTGAATTCTTTATTCATTTTCATCCCCATGAATGTATATTTCTTGTTCTCTGGCTATCCTCCCTCCGTTTATGGGCTGGCTCTCGTTGCTCATGAGAAAATGCATTTAAATTTTAAAGCATTAATTCATTAAATGCTTAATTGACCCAATAACCGATTTGACAATGCCGGCGTCTAGAAAGTATATTAGAGTTCACAAGGTGAAAAGAACAGTTCGAAGCGTTGTACTTTGTAACTCCCAAGCCCGAAATTTCGTGAGTTATGCGTTAATTATGCAACTTTCTTGCCCTGAAATTGCGCGATAATCTTTTAAAAGACATATTCTTCCAGTCCTAAATATAAGATTTTTATATAAGGGTTTAGATAAAGGTTTTATATTTAGGACCGGAAAAGTAAAGGTCTTATATTTAAAATCGAAGGAATATGTCTTTCTGTAAGCCAAAAAGTTTGTCTCATTATAATTAAGTTTAATATTGACAATGGAATTTTTAATTTTTTAAAGAATTAACTTTTCATGAATATGTTTATTGCATAAAATTTTAAAAATAAGTCATAGTTTCGTGTCTAGCTGGTGAAAAATACTACTTCTAAAAATCTATTGGTATATATATGCTTGCATTATTTTCAATGTTAATATCAAAACTCGAGGGTTCAAAATCACTTTATATAAAAGTTATAAAGCTTTTGCCTTTTTTATGTTAGTGAAGAAAAATAAGTTTAATTCATCCTTTTTAATTTTCAATGAAATGGTTTATAAGCAATGTTGATTTAGGACATACTCTTCCATCTCTTATTATAAGATTTAATTTTTTTGAATTGATTTGTCTCTATTTATAAGATTCCTTTTGAATTTATCTAAACAATAAATGCATTTTTATCTATTTTATGCTTAATTATATACTTTCTCATATTATCTTTTTTCCATATATTTTTTTCACTCACACACACCTACTTATAAATAAGGGCATATTTTTTTAAAAAAATATATTTTTAATATATTTATTACTTTTAACTAATTTTAGTAGTTTTCTTAAACTATGTAATATAGTTAAATAAATTTTATAACAAGGAATTGAGGGAGTACAAGATAAGTATATAAAAAAATATCTCAATTTATGTAAAGTGTATTTGTAAGCAGTTAAATTAGCACATTGATTTTTTTTTTTTTGACCTGGCATATTTCCCGTGTGCAATTAATTGAGTTATTACGTGGTGAGCATCGCAAAGTCCAATTGTACAGGATCACGTCGCGCCAATCCTTGTCTTTAATTTAATAAAATTGCATTTCAACTATCCCCCTGTCGTTATTAATGCCCCCCATTCTTGATGATCTCATCACAACTTCACAATTCACAATACGTGAATTTTTTTAGAATCAGCTCTTGACAAGTTTCCTGGCGTGACCATTGAATCACGGAGTGGCTGAACTAAGAATTTAAATTATATAAAACATACACCAACAAAAAATAGTATTAAAAAATGAGTATTTGTCTCTAGCAGATAAAAAAATAAATAAGTTGTCTGAATTTTGTCACAAGTTTTCGGCGGCTGTAACATCACAAAGACACAAGCCAAACCGCCTGTGAACCAGATCTACATCACATAATACAAATCTCAACTTATATTATGAGAGTATCTTAAAAAGAATCGTTATATTTTGTTTCTACGTGTCGAGGGCTAACAATCTCTATATAGGGAAGAATCTACTTCAGACGAGCATATGTGCTTCTTAATAAAGAATTAAGACTCTGATCATGTGGGCCGCGTTGAATATTACGTAATCCCACAATGACGTGGAAGAAGCTGAGTTAGGGTCAGCCACTGATCTCGTGTCCGAAATTGACTCGTTTGCCGTTATCAAATTCACGTTCTTCAACGTGAACCGGTTCCCCACCAGATGACTCAGTACCGCCGCCTCCGACACCGAGTTATTCGCGCGTTTTTTCATCGCCCACCGAACAATTTGCGTGAGCATCGCGTTCGATAATCGCCGGATGCCTTTCCCTCCGCCCATTATGATCGCCGAGTTGACTCGTCCGCCTCCCTGAGTTTTCTCCGAGTTGTTCCTACTCTGCGTCATGCTAAAGCTACTACTCTCTGGATGTCTATGTAACAAAATGGTCTCGGGGCTCCGGTTCCGGACTCTTCCCAGCGGGTCTTTCACCACTACCATTTCTTCACGTCTACGAGCATTACATGCTTGAAACTCCGCTTGACCCGACCGAGCAACATCGGGTAGCACGCCCATCTTCTCAAACTCAGGGGGACGTCGTTTAGAACCCGGCCAGCGAGTTCTCCGGATCGAGCTCTCCGGGTCAAATCTGAGAACCGACCCGTAACTCAACAGAGGGACGATCTCTTCTGATCCGCCATTCCCTGTTTCCGGGTTCGTGAGATTACTTCTAGTTCTCGCACCCCACAATGGCTCCGCGATTTCCGTCCCCTTCTTGACCATCTTGAGAAACCTGGTAGCATCGAAATTGGGAGATTTCCGGTTCTTGTGAGGATGGGGTCACATTCATTTGAGTGTAGTGTTGAATGAGTGACAAGAACGAGTCGTTCTCCTCCTGAATAATAGGGGTGAATCTCGATGACAAGGAAGCAGAATCGAACATGAAAACGACGTCGGCGCTGGCAGTGAGGCCTGACCTATGCAAAACTCTGAGAAACAAGCGAAACTCCTCGTCGGTGGTGTCGGCAGCCACGTGACCCAAACGAGATCTTTCATGGCTCTGGTTCCTCTCTGTACAGAGTACCATCCGTTGCAGAGCGGGCGAAGGAAGATGCTCGCTGTTGAAGGCACATTTTCCCAATTTGGGGAACCAACCGCTGGGCTTTGGGCTCTGCAGTGGGATTGTGAATAATGGGAGATTTCTCCGACAAGATCGACGATGGGCCGTAGGTTCGATGGTAGATAGAGTGAAGAAAACAAGAGTGGTGAAGAGGAGAAGAGCGCAGATGGAATGATGCATTGAGCAGTGGAAAAAATGCGAATGGAATTGGGTCTCTTGACAGAAGAAGAAGCAGGAGGAGGCGAAGAAGAAGGTGAGGAAAATAACTTAGTTTTGTCGGCAACTGGGGGGCTTTCTTCAGGGAAGAATACCAAGAGGAGACCCATGCCCTTAGCCTTAGCGTTTGCCCAGAACCCCGAATCTCTCTTTGGTTGTGTGGCAGGCGACGATT